TTATATATATATTTTCCTTTTTAATTCATGTAATATGTATTCTTTTTGACACTGTATTCGTCTTGTCGATATCGCAATAAATACAGAAAAATGTTTGCGAATAATACGATAATCTCTTTAAACTCTCTGGACCTTGTAAGATGATTGTGGCATTTAATTTTGATAATTTTAGTGGGATAATATCCATGATTGACATACTGCATCAAAACATTTTTATACACAAGTCTAACTTGTTTATGTGAATATTACGTGTTACATGTGTATCCATAGGATGTCATATATTACAGATTGTCTTAGCTGACTATGCCATACATTTTAGTACGTGGTAACCTAGCGTCATATAGTCATAAATATCCCTGGAGGGTTCTTGTGTCAGGGCTTAAAGGTACGAACTCCCGCATACTCGCCGTCATACAAATGCACATGTTACATTTCCCTCTTTTTAAATTTTGCCATAATTAAGCGATATGTTCAGCGACTTGTCATAGTTGAAAATTTTTTACATTACATTTTTCTAAAAGTTATATGCTAGTAATAATACAAATAACATCAAAAGCTAACAAATATTTAACATACATTTAGGGATTAGATTGATGTACCTTGAAAATTATAGATAATATTTTGTGTGTAATTAAGAATATTGCAAATAGGTATAATATAATAACGAATCAAGTTTAGAGGTGCAAATAATATTCAATTATGTTATAGCGGCTGACATAGAGCAGTTGAGTCGCTTTACATCTATCGGTTATTGCGACGATTCGACGATAGTATATTTGCAACATCCTTGCATAATATTGAGTGCTTTAGAGGTACTTGGTTACAAAGTCATCGCATCTTCCAGTACTAGCATTAAGCAGGATTATAATGAGTACATGTGGACTATGAGAAAAGAATTTACAGAACCTGAACCTGATATTGCTGTAAAGGCTGGTATGGTTCGAAATTAGTATAACGCAGCTTTAAGAGCAACCCAAGAGCACATCGCATAGCATAGTTGCAACATTTATTACGCACAATCGCATTCTAATGCTTCTGTGAAAAGTAATGTCTATCGACACGCTTCATCAGAAAACACATATGTTTTCATTGAAAGTTTATAAAACTCCAGTGCTATCACTTGTATATATTGTACATTATATGTGCTTATACTCGTGCGCTAATCGCATTTCCAATAGAAGAAAATTTTTTTATGTGTAAAAATTCTTATTATTATAGTAAAAATTATCTACAGTACTTTAAAAGAAGAGAGAAATATTAATTAGAAAAAAAATTAATAGAAACAAGTTCTATCTTCAATCTGTTTTCTATTGGAAATACGATACACTGCATCAATATATCAGCTTCAACATTTCATTTGATCAGAAATGCACCATTTATCTTGAAAGTGGCTTTAGTCAAATTGTTTTAAAATCTTCTCAAAACAAGTACATATTTTATATAATGATCATTGAATTTATATAAAGTAAATGTGCTTTATATTAAAAGAAAAGGAAAAAAAAACAAAGATTCTAAGTTTTTTATATATTATTTGAGATACAATATTTCAGAGAGAAACTTTATTTTATACAAAATTTATTATACATAAAATTTATGTGAATATTTCCTTATCGAAAAATAGAAATTTTGAAGCTGCATATATTTTGAAAGTAAAACTGGAAAGCTACTCGTATCTTTTTATATCGATTGTAATGAGAGTTCAAGGGTTGAGAGATGGAGGTGTTCTCTTGTTGCTGGAATCGTTTCAAAAGTATCACGAACAAAAAAAGATTTGGTAAAATAACAAAAGCACCGCATAAACGCAGCTTTTTGAACTTTCGATCGAGAAATTTCGTCAAGAGATTGCTTCGTGAATGGGGTGATGTTTGTACCACTTTCGTGATAAACGGCTTCGATCGTCACTCACGTGCGTCACGTTTGCTTTTCTTCTAGAAGTAAAGCACAACGAGGTATAACGATACTTTTAGCGCGGCAATGGCAACCACGTCCAACGTCACGTCTAAAAAGGACGGCGCCGACGAGGACGACGACACTTTCTATTACGTCGGTGTAAAGGCGTCCCCGTTCGCGGCCGATTGCGCTGTGTTTGGTTTGCCCTCGAAAGAGACATCGGCCCTACGCAGCCGCTTCCCGCTGTCCCCAAGTAGTACAAATATCGTGAATGGAATTATGCTCAAAGGTTAATATTAACCTTCCCTTCCAAGAAATTTTCAAATGTTAACAGATGTTGCACGGGTCGCTCCTCAGAGTCCCAAAACAGATCCTTCGAACTATGACATCTAGTCATTTTATAAAAATACGAATTAATCGCGAGATAAGTACACAAAGATTATTACAATAAAAACGAGTAATATGAGTGAAGAAAAATCCTTTTAAAGACGTCCAGTTTAGGCCAAATATATCGGAGAAATTAAATTTCGGAGCTTTATCCGTAAAACACTCTGTATATATAACAAATATAATCATTAATAATTTATCTTAACTTATTTGGCTAACTCTAATATTACGATATTTAATAATTCTTAAAAGTTTCATTAATTTAATAGAAATAAGATTTCATTGTTGTATTAATAGTATAATAATTACTTATGAAAAATTTGAACAAATTTATAATATTATTACTTAAATTTTGAAATATTAATATTAATTTTTTTATCATACATCTTTTAGGAATTTACGTTACCAAATTGATTTCAGGAACACCGTTCTCCGTCATAAACGCTCTAGCCGAGCTCGGCTATCGAGTTATTTGTAGTACCGGAGAGGCCGAGATACTTTGGACATTGCAGCGGGAATGTTAATGATATAAAAAAAACTGGGTCTTATTATATATATATATAAACGTATTATATATCTAAATGCATTTACTTACGATCTATATACACACATACATATATATCTGTATAAGATATATATACGTATATCTGTGTTTTTATGAATCAAACTACAACATTTGGTGAACGAGATCTGTAATGTTATCTTCTTTCTGCATTTTTTTTTATATATCTTGTATTTTTGACGTTTGTCTACATCTAATCGCGTTTTGACGAAATTTTCATGATAGTAATTGAAAGCATATAATATTGTGTCGACCGTCTAAAAAGGCTTTATCCTATCGAATATCTTTTCAAGATATTTGATTGCTATATATGTACTTCGCAAAGTTGGATGGTACATATATAAGATGCAGCTTGTCATTAAAATAGAATACGTATAGTATTTCACTTGACCTGAAAATGGAAACTTACATGTTACTCATTGCTGTAAACGATAACACGAAAATCTTTCTCGCATGTTATCGGATATGACATTTTATATGTATATCTCAGCAATGTCGCGAGTTTCTTTTTACGGTTTCGAAAATGACACGATAAAATTGTATAATCATAATAAGACTGTCCGGGAAGGAGGGTGGGGGGTATAATTCCGAAGCGTGAACCATTTAAACATTCCTGCACCGTATATTGCAGATAATAATTTACCAGCAGAGAGGGAAAATTTTATCGGGGTAAAGGTAAAGCAACGCGTGTTGGCACACATTATATATATATATATATAATTAGTAGAAGTATTGTATTTTGTGATATCTTTTTACCTCGTTGCGTGGAAAATGGGTTTTTTTACGCTTTATTGAGAGTTAGGAGACGAGAGTTTCATATAATCCAGGCAATGATCTAAATTGGCGCAATATAGGTTGCTCCAAACTGGTCCATATCGTCTTTGAACAACGTTTATCATTTTGTGGGGAATAAAATTTTATTATATGTACAAATAAGAATTTATATAATATCTTTATATATGGTAACGCACACACACATATAGCATTAATATAACACTTTCTTCTACCATGTGTATTGTATTTTTGGTAGTTTATCGTACAGTTATTATATGTGCGAGATATCGTTTGGATCGAACACGGTCCAGAGAGTTTAAACGTAAAACTGTCATTTGATATAGTGTTTATGGCGATGTTTACTCTTACTTGTATATTTACGTGTTTGTCAATCCTACTGCAAATGATGTGCGTCAATCTAAAAAATTATTGCGATTGATATTTCCTGTATTTACATTAAACCAAATCAAATAAAATTATATAGAAGAATCATTATTTTATATAGTTTAACAGTTATATATATTATAAAATTTATATGTAAGAAAATCAAAAATGATATTGTCGATGATGTTAACGATATAGTTCTTAGTTACAATTTGATATGAGTGCAATTTATAAAACTAAAATTCGCGGATATGGTGAATTTTATATTTATGTAAATTAATAATCTCGCGCATGAACAGAGCCTTAAACTGTTTTGTACGACACAGTCGAGGTATATGCGCAGCTTATAATAGAACGTTGTACACAATTATTTACATATACAAGAAATATCGATAAATTCATGTGTTATATATTTTTTTATGCGACAAAAATCTTCTCTTGAGAACGCAAAAGTAAAATCCCTTTTTTTTTTTTTTTCATACGGACATAATAGCTAAAAGGCTTATGTCAAACTTATATAATAAAATCCTAATGATTATTTGCAGATATAATAAATAATGGCGCATTCTCACAATGATAATACTCATGCATGCCAAAGCAACAAATATGCTGTTTGTCAGACTTTAGATGAGATGGTATTCGAACGTGGACTCTGGAAGGCAGGTAAATAAATGTGAAAGCTTCTATTCACGATATGGATATTTACTCAAAATAATGTAAGAGATGGTAAATGCGTAATGAAGCGTTAGAAAATAGATCGTCAATGAATGGATTAGGTTTGTTCAGATTTGGCTGTGCGTTTATTATAAGTTCCAATATCGGATTTGTGTCAATAGAGAATTAAATGGATTCTATTTTTATATGTAATGAGGACAATTCTCTCTCTCGGGAAAGGATAGAGAATTTATCTTTGAACAAATAATAGATAATTTATATAAACGCGATTATTAAAAGGAAGCTATAAAGATTTATGTGCAATATTCATATATACTGAAAACAAATAATAGAGAAAAAAATGAGATGATTTTATATTGCTCTTACGCTTTTTATTTCTTCTATAATTTTTTATCGAGGTGGAGGATTTACACAGAAATTACATATGGTCTCTTTCCGAGTTAACGAAAAGTGAACACAGCGTTACTTTCTGCGAATTAAACTTTGGACTAGAATAACTAATAGAACATAATTTGACATTCAAAGCGGACTTTGATAGAATTTTAATTCGAGATTGAGTTGTATCAAGCTACCTACATTGTTGAAAATGATCAAAAACGTATATCTAAATTTTGATTTTAAATTTAATAGGAAGCGATGCCTACTTTTCGTCGAGGCAGTTTTACACACAAGTGTTTACACGTGGAAAAAAACACATGGAAAAAAAAAAAGTACAGTGAGGCGATCGTGAAATTATATAAACTAAAACGCGTTTTTCTTGTCGCATTTTTTCAGCGTTGGATGGTGATATAGAACGCGTGGAGATGTTATTGGGCAGGGGCCACGACCCCAGGGCGGAAGACGCCGGCGGCTACACTCCCCTGCATTATGCCGCTCGAAACGGTCATTTCCACGTGTGCGAGCTCCTATTGAAACACGGCGCGGACGTGAACGCGACTACCCCCTCTATTAAGGCGACACCTCTGCACCGTGCTGCTACTCAGGGTCATGCTGAAACCGTCGAAACGTTGCTGCGACACGGTGCGAACGCCAATCTCAAGGACACGGACGGCAAGACGGCCCTACACCGGGCGATCTCGAGCCATGCCAGCTCCATGGAAACTCTTCAAGACAGCTCGTTATCGAACACTTGCATGTTACTGCTACCGCATACCGATCTTAATATCAAAGATAACACCGGACAAAATACAAAGGAATTAATATCTGAAACGTATAACGAGACGTTAAACAAATTGGGACCAGAAGCTGCGAAGTTAATGAAAGATTCGTTGTTAGGAAAGACGTCCGACGTAGATATGGATAAAAAAGCATTAGAAGAAAAAAAAGCATTAGAAGATAAAAAAGCATTAGAAGATAAAAAAGTAATAGAAGATTTTGAGAGGACAAAGATAACAGATCGTGTAAAAGAAGAGATAAATGAAACGATAAAACGAAAGAGGGAGGAAATAGAAAAATTTCTTAGTGAACAAAAAAAAACAGAAACCAAAATTTAACGGAATACTTGCACATTTCGTTTTTGTTCGTATAGTTTTCGTTTTTGCATAATAATGAGAGAGAAAGAGAGAGAATATATATATTGGCGTAATATATATTGATAATTTGGTAAAACGTAAATCTCTTTTTTGATATTTGTACATAAGCAGAAATGTATGACAATTTCATGTAAACTAAAAGACTGGTAGTATATTAGCATTCAAAAATTTAAGAAGATAGGAAATCTACCTACGACTTTCTCTAGCGAGCATTCGAATTTTATAACAATAACATAAGGATTAATAAAACATCGATATATTCAAAGAAAAAAAAAAAAAAAAAAAAAAAAAAAAAAAAAAAAAAAAAAAAAAAAAAAAAAAAAAAAAAAAAAAAAAAAAAAAAAAAAAAAAAAAAAAAAAAAAAAAAAAAAAAAAAAAAAAAAAAAAAAAAAAAAAAAAAAAAAAAAAAAAAAAAAAAAAAAAAAAAAAAAAAAACAAAAAAAAAAAAAAAAAAAAAAAAAAAAAAAAAAAAAAAGAAAGAAAAAAACAATTTCTATTTTTCAACTTATGAATAATGATGTCAAATATCGAAGGAAATAATAAAATTCTCATGATTCATCAAAACTCTCAGTTTCATTGACGAAGAATAGATCTCAACGATTCTCCAAAGTAAAAATTTAATACATCGAAAATTTATTGTCTCCATTCCCACCTCGCCACGTTCTCGTTAAAGTGCCCTACACGCGGTCAATCTATCCCATCCACCCATCCGTCCGTCCGTCCGCGCGACAGACAAGAGAAGCCGGAGGGTCGTGCACTTGATATTGAATCGGTCGCGCTCGCGGCGCTTCGGCCGTTTCCGGCGACGCTCGGCCGAGCCGCGATATATCGCGGCCGCCGGAGGCTCCAAGAGCAACGACGCCGGCGCCATCTCGCGGCCGCGAGTGCCTCCCGTCGTCGTTCGCGATTCGGCCGCGCCAGTCGTTGCACGACGCGGAGTCGTCAGTTGTTTCCACGAGTAGTATCAACCGCGGATTGTTTGTGCGTGCGGGTCCGCGTGCGGGGATCGTTCTCACGCGCGTCCGTTCGTCCGTCAGCTCGTTCACGGCTCGTTTCCCGATCGCGGCGATCGCCGTCTCGCCAACCTACGACGATCGTCTACGTCGCGATCGCGTATACGGAGCGATAGCCGTTCCTCTCTCGCTGCGAATCCGTGTGTCTCGCGGCGGCCACCGCGGCTGCTTCGTCCACGCCCGTTTCGTTCCGGTTTTTCACGGCTCGTGGCGCGAGGCCTTCGCTTCTCGTCGCCGATCGCCGCGCGAGTGACAATCGTCGGAAAGAAAAAAAACCAGAGAGAGAGAGAGGGAGAAAGAACGAAAGAGCGGCGATGTAACGTCGTCGCGCTGTGACGTCACGCACGTCGGGTCGCGCTAATCGAGTACACACACGCGCGCGCGAATTCAAACACAGTCTGAGCGGACAGCGCGCGCGCGCGCGCTCTCCGTCCGTCCGTCGTGTCGTGTCATCGTCGTTATTCGCGCGATACGTTTCCATCTCTCCTCTCTACGCCGTGCTCCGTGTATACAAACATATTTGTGTATTTTACGCGGACGAAAGAGAGAGAGAGAAGAAGTGTAATGTGTATCCGTTACGTGCAGTGAGATAAAGCGGGACGGAAGAAGGACAGAAGCACGGGTAAGATTGCGAGAAACGTAGAAGAGAGAGAGAGAGAGAGAGAGAGAGATAGATAAGGAGAGCAACAGCAAGAAAGAGAGAGAGAGACATACAGGCACACGCGTACATATATGCGCTCTCGCCGTGAGCGCGGCGGCGGAGTGGTCGGGGGAAAGGGCGAGGGGGAGGGGGCGGCGGGAGAGGAGGCGCGCGCGCGGCGGGACGTTTCGCCGCGACGTACTTGCGTGTACTGTCCAGCAGCGCTCGTCGCGAGGAGGAGGTTCGCGCCGAAGAGGATGAGAAGAGCGGCGAGGCCGCCGGCCGCGAAGCGCTATTTCGCGATCAGATAGATTTGCCATTTCTGGAAAGGCGTCTCGCGCGAAGACGCCGAACATATATCGTCATCGTCGTCGCGTTGGCACGCGCGATTTCCGACACACGTGCGAGATATAAAGGAGATCAAACATCGAGAGAGAGGTATATCCACTTGCGTATATTCCGTGGCGCCCCGCTGTGTTTTTCTGCGGAAAGAGCGTGACTAAAAGGAGAAGAGAGAGAGAGAGAGAGAGAGGAAGAGCGAGCGGCGAGTTTCTCGGATATTCCTCTCAGCAGCTGTGCGCGCGTCGTTTCCGCCGAGCAACGTTTTTTTTTCGGAGCGCGAAAGAGAGAGAGAGAGAGGGAGAGAGAAGAGGGAAGATACGGACGGACGATCTCGACTACGAAATGGTATCGTCGTTGTTTCGCGAATAAAAAGTGAGACGCCCGCGCGTGCTGTCATCGTGGCCGTCAGCGTTCGCGAATAACGTTTGTCCCCGTCTCGAATATATAATGCCCAGGAGCGGCGCGCCGTATCGCGCTTGGCGCCGCGAGAAAGCAACGGCCGGGTTTCTACGTTCCGTTTTTATTCGCTCGTCGGACGGTCCGCTGCTCCTCCGCTGAGAGTCAAGTTCGTCGCGCTCCGCTGTGCGCGCCGCGTCCGTGGCGCGCTCTCGCGCGCGCCGTCAACTTGTTCGCCATCGGCGCTTTCGATTGTGCGTCGCCGCATCCACGTCCCGTGGGCTTCCCCCCACCCCACCCCATTCGTCTCTACCTGCCCGCCCGCTCCGCACGAGAGGGTAGCGAGGGAGACTGAGAAGGGTTAAAGGTGCGTGTGCTGTTTTCCGTTCTCTCCGAGAGAATCTCGTCGATCGACGGGTCTGTTCTCTCTCTCTCTCTCTCTTTTTTTTTTCCTTCGCGAAGAAAAACGTTGAGTAACCTCGTTCTTCGAGAGCCGGAGAAAGATGCGACCGAGAGGGAATAGACCTAGTGACGTTTAGTTTGAAGGTTAACGCGTGACATTGGAGCAAGTAGTAATTGTTTTGATTGATCGTATTGAGTAACGTGAGAGTTCGCGTGATATTGTTGTTATCGAAGGAGAGGAGCTTTAATTAAATGAAATTTTTCGTCACACATACGATTGTAAACTTGACCGTGATATCTGTTATCTGTCTCGAAAATTCTGTAAGTATCATTTTGCAATCTTCCTTTTTTTTTTTTTTTTTTTTTTATGACAGTTCGTACACGTGTTTGCGAAATCGGCTTCTTTCCGAGGAAAAAAATTCCGACGAAAGGCATTATATTTTTTAAATCACCAGTAAAACAAGCATTGCGTAAATTATACTCGATACCAAAACATGGTATACGTAACCTTTAGTGTGAAATAACCACTACGTATACGCGTGTTACGATTTCCTTCCTAAAATATGCAAGGTTTCGCGCGCTCTTTTTTTCGGTTTAAAAATGTCGTAAATATACCTGTAGCCTCCTTTTTAAGTTTCGAATTATTTGGACGCTCATTTACACGCGTTTCTTATCCTAAGGGAAGCTACGATAGCGAAGGATTGATTACTTTATGGTGCGACTAATACATTTCCAAGGAAATAAACATCTCTTTCTCTCTCTCTCTCTCTCTTTCTTTCTCTATTTCCTAACATTTTTTTTCTTGTTTGTATCCTTTCTGGCAGGCCCCCGGGGGCCGAATCACGATAATGGGAGGATAAAAATTGGACAATGGCAATGGCAACATTCTACGAATGAACACGCGGTGTTCGTCTAATTTTGGTCCGTGGATTCTCCCTCATTTCTGCGTTAAACTTTTTCTCGGTCTAATGAGCTCCAGAGAGAGCCCACGGCCGTCCTAAGGGCATGTCACGCGATCGCATCGCCTAAGATGCTTATTCAGGGAAGGAGTTGTTACAACGTACCTACATTGTGTGTACACGGCGGCACGAAATTGTATAGGTTTCTTTCTTTTTTTTTTCGATATTTCGATATGTGTGCGTTTCGAGAATTGCTTGAATAGGCGTCTGAGAACCTAACCGCGGTTACGCAAAATCTTTGATTTTTTTTTTTTTTTTTTTGCAAAAATGACCACGAAACAGATATTCGTGTCATTGGTTTTTTTTTTT